CTGAAATACAAGAAAGCATCATGTGAAATCTTCATTAACCCGTGTTTGAATATTATGACTGAGCTGTAATGGTAAGCTCCGAAAATGGTGTGGACGCAAAAATACCATTTTTAGAGAGCATCGAAAGGAAACAGCCTGAGCCCATTTGTGCGTCAACGACATTTCAGAAACGAACGGCAATTGCACAGAGACGAATCGAGCAGGTGCAGGTGGGGTTTGGTAAGTCAGCGAATGAAGGAAGCCTAGGCTGATGCAGTGACGTGCACAATAACTGCAGATGGTATAAACAAATCAGCCCTCACAACGTAAGCAATTGATAAATGATCAAGTAACATCAAATTAAACAACAGTTGATACAATTAAGCATAAATTTAGACACATATAGGACCGGGAATTGTGAGAAAGTAGAGGTAATATCAATATGGAGATTTTGGTGAAATTAGCGAGCCGATGACGTTGGTATTTCCGCCATTTCAAGGCGAACGTCGATGCTGAAACAAATGAAGATTAATCGAACGCAAGGAATGACAGTTTCGCTTTTGCCATGTCCGTATTAGAGTGTCGCTGAAATGCAATTTATTGGATGCCATCTCGCTCTACCCTGCCTCCTTACCTTGTTTTTTGTTTCTATTTTGCTATATGTTTGTAGATGCTGTGGTAAATACCGCTCTCAGCACTTCAAACTCATTGTCAGCGTCACTCTGGCATGATTACGGATTCATTTTAGGATACAAATAATCTTATGAAAGGACTCATGAAAAAAAGACTCCTTTCCTGAGCCTCTAAAAAACCTCAGCTGAATTATTACCTTGCTGGCGAATTATTGGGTGGCGGTGGCCGTTCTTGCATTGGAAATGTTGTGGTGTCCTGGAAAAAGAAAGAAATCGTGTTGGTGGAAGTAATAGAAGAGAGGTATAGGTTTGTACTAGGTTAGTTAGGGTATCAAATTAGGAAATAGGGAAGTATATTTCGGACGAATCTGACCAGAAGACGAAGACCTTGGACATTTGTCATAGAGCATAATTTGTCTGGAACTCTCACATTTTTCGCAGCATTCCAACAGATATTACCACAACCTTTGTTTCTATAATATTAGGAACTTCGCAAAACTTGTCTCTGAAACTTTTCTACTGCTTCCGAATATTTGCTTTCGAAGATGGATCACCAAAAACACGATTCAGGATATATTGGTACAAAATACAAAGAAATAGAAGCCGAGATGGGCGGGCTCCTTTAGAATCGCCGCAGCCTGATTTGTTCATGTAAGCGAAAATATTGGACTGATCAAAAGGTAAATTTCAGACGATTTTGAAAACATACATAGAAGGTCTCAGTTGTTTTATGATGATCATTTATCATTCATCTTTTGATGAAATAACTAGTGAGTTCTTGATTGAGCACCGCCTTGCTTACGTTTCTTTGTCTTTTAAACCACCATTTCCTGACTCGTCTATTTGGGATGACGCGAGAATGGAGAAACAGTACGGGTTTTTTTGACGTTGTTTAATGTTGTTTCTCAACCGCAAAGAAAAAATGGAATTCAAGACGTGCAACAAAAAACATGATGAATTTCGGATAAAGTGCATGTGAATGAGCAGTACCTCAATGATTGAGGAATCTGGGCAGGGCGGATCTCCCACTATAGATCGAGAACTCCTCAGTAAGTCACCACTTTCCGTGAGGGTCAAATAAAGTTTTGGATTACTAATTACATTTCCAGTGCAGAACTTCTCGGAGTGTCAGCTACTCTAGCACCGAATAAATTTT